AAGTATTAAGTTCTTAACAATGCTCCAATGAAACCTGATTGCACATGGGTATAAATCTATAATAAACTTGAATAGTTTACATATTAGTTGTGAGCAAAAGTATATTGCTAAGATGCTCCTTCAACAAGTGATCGATCATGCTGAAATAAGAACCTACTTTAAATTAAAGAAAATCCAACATATAAAATAAAAAAATAATTGTTATTGGTTAGAGAAACAATAATACTCTAAGTAATCCAATGATGAATGTTTTCTAAACAGATTCATGAGATACATCTAGAATATCCCAAAAAATTGACACATGATGGGCATGAAACTTTACCAAATACCAAATAGCTCATTCCTCCCAATGTTCTTACGAGAGAGAAAATCCAAATATACTGTATCTATAATCTAATAAAATAATGGTTTTATTGATTAGAGAAACAAGAAACTCTAAATAATTCAGTGACACATGTGTTCTAAACATATTCATGAGATAACCAAATGACATCTAGCATACGCTTGAAAAATTAACTCATTATGTGTAAGCATGGGTATGAAACTTACCTTTACTATTTAAATACTAAGTATACCACGGATAATTCCCTTCCTAATCTTTGTCTTGTCGTTGCCATCGTTTACTATGGGTTGTGGTTATAAACGTTGAACGTGTTATTTTGATGTCCAAAGTGTAAATTAGATGTTACGATCCACTTTTGTTTGTTGATTTTTCATGCTGTAAAAAGTTTGATGTTTTCTTGCGTAAAATTGTGGATTTATTTTTTTCAATGTTTGATCGTGGTGGTTATTTTTATGCTTAGGACTGTTTCCAAATTAATATTGTAAAGTATAAAACTTTATTGGATCATAAGCTTCTTTACTATTTACAGAAATATTACTGATGCGTAATTGCCGAATGATCATAGACATTATACTGTATTTCCTCATTTGAAAATGACTATTATTTGATTCATTTACTATCGCCAAAAATAATATAAAGATTATGCATTTATATCAACAACAAATTTTAATATTATTGCACGTTTATTTTCTATTTTGGATGAGGCTTATCGTGATAAATTCTTACATCGGTGTATTTTTCATTTGATTTATATTAATTTATTTATTGATTGATTGCATTTAATAGGAACAAACTCGCAAGCGTTACATAAAACGAATCGTGTATGACCAATATAAAAGAGTGGATTTTTGGCGAAAGTTGATCATATACGGTCGCTACGTTTTTCAATTCTGCAAAATCGACAGGAACGAGCAGTATAATTAGCTTTGTAAAATACAAATACGTATTTAGGCATTTCTTAGAGCCAACTTTGCCAGCGACGGTAATCGGCATACTGTATCTCAGTGCCAACTCTGCCAGTGATAGCAAAGTTTCGTATGAAGGGCAGAACTTGCTTCTTACATAAATGTTGCCGTTATCGTTGCTGTTGGATCCAGTAGCGAGTTGCTGCTTTGGTTCTTCTTCGTAATATCATTTTTTGTTGCGATGTATTTTAACCAATCTTTTAAAGAAAATTCCAATTATAAGTGTTCATATGACGGAGACGGTCGCTCTCGTCAAATTTTAACAGCGTTGTTGCTTCATTTGTTGCTGTTGTAACCGGCAATGAGTAGAAGCTTGTCTCATTCTTGTGTAATAGTGTTTTCGATTACCATGTAGATTGGCCATTATTTAAAAAATAATTGTTTTGAAAGAATTTTATTTTGCGTCAAATGCGATTTTGTATTCGTAAATTACTGTATATAAATTCATTTCAAGAATGATATAAATCATATATGTTTTAAAGAAAAAAAATTTTGGAAAGTTTTCTTATGCGTAAATTGCGTATATATTAAATTTGAGGATCTATAAACCTGTGTAAAAGGATAAAATCAAGATGGATTCGAATTAATTTTTATGCCATGATAGCGATAAAAAGAGAAAATATAAGTAAATTATTTAAAAATTATCTCGTGATGCGCAGTTATTAGCAAGACAATAAATGAGAGACAATTGCTGGGTATAAGTTTCAAATGTATTTTCATTAGTAATTTTAAAATAAAATTTATTAAGTAATTTATTTTGTAAATTATTATATAAAAAATTTGAAAGTTATTTTTCTTGCTTCAGAAGTCACGTTGCAATTATTTACCTCCTTCATCAAATATTTTGCACGTTATGGGGGTGTAAATCCCGCGCGAACTATCCCACAACGACAATACTCATAAGTTATAATTATTTATTTTTTAAATCCTTCATTCAATGTTTATTACTTGTTTTTTTCAAAAATAAATTCAAACCAAAGTAACATTATAGAAATTTTAATGGTGAAAGATTTATTTTTTTATTAAATTCAAATGAAAGCAAAAAAAAATAACTGTTTTGTTCATTAAATTTTTTTTTATGATTTTAATATTACATGTAATACATTTAGTTTTTCCATTTTTACTGACTGATTTGATTCTTTTACCGCCTCATTACTAATTCTTATTTTCATTTCTTTTACTTTTACGAATAATATCCATTTTACTTGTGAAAGCATTAATAATTTATCTAACTTGAATTTAATAAACCAACGTATTATAATTATGTAATCATAGTGATTGATTACTCAAGAAATAGCATATTATTACTTGAAATTTTTTTTGATTTCATTTTTTACTACTTTATGATCAATAGAATTACATTAAATTTATAGTTAGATCAATAGAAACGCAATATAGGTTATTCGTACCTAGAGAAAATGCTTTATAAGTAATGTATAACGTTTTAAAAAGGATTTATATAGAAAAATTTTTGCTTATGAATTCTTTAAATTTTAGAAACAATAATCAGAAACTTAGAAATTTATAAAATTTTGCTAGCAAATTTCAACCTTTTGTGAAAATGAGGAAGTATGAAACTTTTTAAATAGGATCGAATTCTATTTCATATCATGATTTATAAATTAAAAAAAAATATATATTATATCTAAAGGATAACTTTGCAGAAACCTGTGTTTTTTTACAATGTGGTTAAGTGATCGTTAACAATTCACAATAATTTAGTATCTAACAAGTGATGAAGTCGTGTTATAACATAATTGTGAAATTATCGATGAAACATCTTTTCGAAGTCGTAGCATGCTATTAAATAGGTAGTGAATATCATCAAATATTATCCGAAAAAAAATAATCCAAGATATTTTTTCGATAAATTAGATACTATTTAACAATAAATTTACCGACTTCTTAAGATTTCTTTTTATTGTATTTTTTTTAATTTTTTTTAAATTTATAGTAAATTCATTGTATAAGAAACGATTATGTAATTAAATTTCATTGTTGTTGTATATAAACGATTGTTATAGAAAAGCATGATCTAATAAAAACTACGCCTATTATGGAATTTTTTTGTAATTTTTTTATAATAAACTATTGTAATAAAACAATGCCTCTATATTTTGTAATAATTAATGTAATAAAACACCATAATCACGCAAAATGACACATCTTGAAAACTTGAAAACTTGAACCCTAACAAGCAGCTAAAAAATGTAGACTTATAATCTGTCTTGTTTTGGTCGCTTCTGTTTGCCAATATTTGAAATCCTTTGTATAATTTTGTAAAATGATTTTTCGCCTTCATTATTAAATTAAATTCATAAAGAACTATCGATCTAGTAATAAATAAATACCTGATTCATAATCGCAAGTTGCTGGTGATATTTTTGCCGTTTTGGGATGGAACTTCAATTTTTTTGTCAAGTTATCCAAGGTTTTAGTTCTTTCAGTATCTCTCACTATATAATTAATGGTTATCGCATTGATAACCAATCTACGTAAATGTGGCATCGTGTTTTGAACCCGTAATTCGTCGTGTTTATCCATCTTTGCAAGACTTTATTTTCATAGATTCGTCTACATTTGAACCAATTTCGCTTTGCAAAGGATTAGTTATATATGAAATTCCTTCTCTGAAAATAAAAAATTACTAAAAAGAACTAGCATAATAAAATTAATGGAATTAAAATGAAAGAAGCAGCTTACCTAACCCTTTTTTCTTTGAACATATTAATATTTTCCTCAATAGTATCTAGGAATTTATTGCGAAAATCTCCAAAGTTTCTATTGGCTGCCCGCAACCATTAAATTCCCTCGATCGAGTTAAGATCGCACTTGAAAATTTGTCGGACTAAGTCTTCGAAAGCACTCTTACCAGGATTTCGAGCTTGAAGAAACAAGCACTTAAGTTCTTCTAGAAAATCGTGATTAGCTTTGTTCTGTATTATATTATACGATTTATTTAGCAATTAGTAATAAAATAAATAAAAATAAAAAATTGTTGCTTAATTTCACCTTGTTCTCTTGCATATGTGGTAACATTGACGGATTAAAGTTTAGTGTAACAATATTAAATCTGTTCGCACCTGGTGCCTGCATCGATAAATACATATTCATTAGGATTCTCGCATAGCTACGAGCAGATTTCGTGAATATTGTTTAATGGTGCGTTTGAATGAAATAAATAAGTGCATTTGATCTAACAACATCATCTTTAAAACTTGTATTATCGAAACGTGTATTAGTTGGATGCGTATTAGTTGAACGCGTATCAGTTAAACATGTTGTAGTGGAGCGAGGTGTAGTGAAGTGAGGTGTGGTAGAGCGAGGTGTATTAATTAAATGATAATTAGCGTTGAAAGATACTGATGCTTTATTTGAATTATTCAATCTGTTATTATTAATGTTTGTAATAGGTGTAAGGGGTTTGCGTACAATTTCATCTAAAGTGATGAGGGAAAGGGTGTCAATGATGGAGGAAGTCAACATAAACTAGAAAGAATTAGATAATTAGAAGCCTTGTCGTTATTATTGTTTTATTATTTATTTATTTTATTTTATTTTTGCAAGATTAATTTTTTAAAAATAATGATTGCGGCTGCACAGAAAAATGATGATCTTAAAAAATGTAGACTTTATTTATAACGATTGGAGCGGTCGGAGAAATCTAAAATTAGTATCATATAAACCTACTTCTATATACCCAAGTTTAGTATTAAACTCTATTTGTCTTTCCGGAATTTTTCATTTTTCTATTGCAAAGGGCTCAAATCTTCCTTTTTTGTCTTTTTTACTGTCCCCGATTTTTTCATGATATTCAAATTCATTATATCGAAGGTGGTACAGACCAATTCTACATGAAATTTCAAAAGTTTTTTCTCAATTTCGATTCGAATTGAAAATCAGAAAAATTAATTAAATTTTTTTTTTTTTTAGAGAATCGGTTCCATTATTGTTTGTAAATGAGTCAAAAAGTCAAAGAACAAGTTCTTGCCTCCGTTTCTTTCACCTGATAAAATAATTACTATCGGTTGGACGAAATACGCTGTTATTCGAAATAATAATTGATATTTTCTAGACTATTCACGACGTCTAACAGAAAGTTAATTATTATTTTATATGATTTTGATGAATCTCTTTTTTTATGATTAGAATTTGGAATCGGTAAAGGAAGTAATATTTAAAAAAATTAAAATCATCAAAAAAAAAAATATATAATTTTAAAAAATTTTTTTTTATCCAATCAGAATAAAAAATAAATTTTTTTTATGTTGTACAAGTAATCAAAATAAATAATTTGGTAAAAAATTATTTTCTTACATCTTACAAATTATAAAATGTCTGATATTAGAATTAACGATAAAGGTAAATTATAATTATTTTCTTGTAATGGCTTTATATGATATTGATTTAAGAAAATATTTACAACAAAATCATAATCAATTGACATGGAATCAAAGACTCAAATATACTTTCATACATAAGTGACGCAATTTTTCGACTTCATCAAGAAAATTCTATTCATAGAGATTTGCATTCAGGAAATATGCTTGGCGTATTAGTGATTTTGGATTTTGCGGCCCCGCTGATATGGAAATCTTCCTTATATAGCACCTGAAGTTATTAATGGAAAAGGATATACTTTTGCATCAGATATTTATAGTATCGGTATTCTTATGTGGGAAATTTCATCTGGACAACCTCCATTTGATAATTAATACCATGATTATGATCTAGTAGTGAAAATAATGAATGGAATGAGACCACAAATCACACAAGGAACTCCAACAGAATATAAAATTTAATGGTTAAGTGTTGGGATGAAGAGATACGATATTGATCCCCTCTATAATAAAATTATAGAAATACGAAAATCGTATTATCAAAATGAAAATGAACAAAACATTAATTTTGACAGTACACAAACAAATGCAAAACCTAATATAAGTTTAAATTATTATAGTTTAGTAAACTTAGCACTTTTAAGGAATTACCTGAACCAAAAAATGCATCTGAAGGTAATCTATTTAATTGTTTATTATGTTCATTATGTTCATTATTAAAAACTGTTTAATTTTTTTTATTTTTTAACTTACAAAACTAAGAAAGTATTCATTTTAATTTTTTTAAATATTTAAGATTAATTTGATATTTCTTTTTTTTTTATAAAAAAAAAAGCTTACGATAGCATGCATTACAGTCTTAATGTTTCAAATAGTAAGTAATACTTGTTTATATGTAATCATAATAAATTTAATAATTAATTTGACTAAAATAAAAATTAAAAAAAAATATCTAAAAATTACAGAACGTATCTACATCAAAATAACGTATCCGGACTTTTGACCGAAACCCAATTGACCGAAACCCATTTGGTCGAGTCCAATTGGGTTTCGGTCAAAAGTCCGGATACGGTTCAGATCATGTGATTATATATATATAATGTGGCTAATTTCAACCTTAACTTAATTAACACTACACTAATCACACAAGTTTAACTTACCTAATCTAATGTCACGCCACAAGGTGAGGAAGGAATTCTGTGATAAAATATTGTGAGTGACAAATAGGATTTCACAAAAAAAGCTAAGTTCCCCGCTTAAATAGTAAAAAAAATGAAACATGGTGGTGACGCGATGTGACAGGTTATTATACAAGTCACAAAACCCGAGATTTTTTTGATGGGATAGTGATTTCTTGGAACGGTAGGTTATTTGAAATGGAATACGATTTCCATTTGTTTCTATGTTTCATACACTGTTGACGAAAAATGAAAAATTTATTTTATCATAACACGCTGCATTCAACTCAACGTTCGCATCCAAGGCGCCTGTCAGAAGGCCGCGGACTTTGAAACTTTTACCGTGTATAAAAACCAGTGATTACATAAAGAAATAATCATTTAAATAAATTTATATAATACAAGGAATTGGTTTTTTTATCAAAAAAAAATCATTATTAACACCGATTTTCTTTGTTTACTTATTACATCACGATAAAATTGTTTATTTAACAATCCAACCTAAAACATGTTCATTCAGCAATGAGTGATTTGAGATTTAAAGGAACCAAACAATCATTCCTAAAGAGATATAATAAAACCTTTAAAGCGTTTGTTTATCGAAATAAGGTAGAAATTCATAAGAAATACCAGGATGAATTTAACACAAGTAGCCTTTTGGACCTTAGAAATGAGTTTGTATATCGTGTGTTAGAAGATACATAGATCAAATTGCTCTATTTTATTTATTCTGTTAAAACTTTACTATACGTAAACGTTAACTCTGGACAAATATTGATCATGCGTGATTAGGACATGATAGTGCATTTATATGACTTTCTGTAGACTGGATTAGCTCTATTTAATTCGTTTTATTTTTTTTTCTTACTAATTGTTTAATTTAACTGGACGAATCGCTTGGTCAATATACATTATATAAAAATTGTCATTGGATATGTTTTACTATATTTTATTTATTTATTTATGTTATTGTATTTAATTTTAACTGGACAAACACTCTTGATAGCGAAAAAATCAATAGAATTTGGATAATTGTAAACAAAAAGCACGTTATACAAATATTTTCATGGATCGGTTTGCTTTTATATATTAATTTATTTACTTTATGTTTATTTTACTAACGCGTTTACCATTGACTGGACAACACTCTTGGTTGTGAAATATTAAATGGAGTTTGGTTAAGTAACTGTTTTCAAGTTCTAGCCATGATAAATAAATTGCTAAAATGATTATATCTATTCGCTATATGAGAAATAATTTCGGATATACGATGCGATTTTAATATATGGCAATGTGACGAGAAAATTTTTTAAAGAAAAATTGTTTTAACGTTAAACTGACAGATCATCAGAAACTGGACGTCCAGTAATTTGTTCCAATGGACAGAACTGAACTGGAATGAACATTTCAATGGACTGGACAAATTAGGTGACAACACTGGTAGGTTGGTTTATTATTATATTAGCATAGAAATCACATGACGCTAACTTATTATTAATGGTCGCTACAATAGATTAACAAATTTTCCAAGGAAGAGGAATGTGAACAATTTTTGTCACTGATTTACTGTTTGGGGAATCCAGCCCAGTAATAGATTTTTTTTAGCAAAGTTCTAAATGCGGAGGATCGGTAAATAACTCTTATTTATCAAATTATATTTACGTTGTCAAGACTAGAATTGTACCGAAACAAGCTTAAAAATTCAATAGATTCAAAGTGTAGTAGGTCAATCACAACAAAATATATATGAGGACAAGAAAAAGTAATATTTTATTAACTCGTAGAGTTTATAAGTTTAAGCCAAAACCAAATCTTTTGTAGACTCAAGGTCAGACTATAGGTAATATTATTGCTACGTGTAACTCTGATGAAAATGATAAAAAACGATACATAATTGATAAATGTGTCATGATGCAAAAAGAACTAGTACTGCGGCTCTTAAGTCGTTGTCATTCGGCGGGAAATTTCTTTTTAAATTTCAAGTAATCGCGCTTATACATGAAGTCTTAGCAAGTTGTGTTATGTGCTGGTCACGGTTCAATAACATAGGTATCTCAACCCGAACGACCTTTTCGGAGCGTACAGTGCATATTAAATTATTATTCTTTTTTTTTATTTTTTTTTAAATGAAATTTTTTATTTTTTATTTCTTTTTTTTAAAATACTTTAAAAAATTTCAAAACGGATTTATTAAATAAATACAATAATCATTTGCAATTTTTTTTATTTTATGATAATATTTTATAAAATATTCAAAAAAAGATCATTTGTTACCAACAGATTCAATATTTACTGCCAAAAACTTCAGTAGAATTGATGATTTGTCTGATTTCGGATAATTCCTCGTTAGAAAGCTTTACATTTGCTGCACCAAGATTTTCTTCCAAATAATGAATCTTCTTTGTACCAGGAATAACGATCATGTTATCACTCTAAAAAAAAAAATTTAAATCAACAAAAAAATTGCTTACATCAAAAATAAAATTTAATAAAATTGTGTTCATACTTGAGCTAGAATCCAAGCCAAACAAAGTTGACTTGCAGTTAAACCTTTCTTATTGGCAAATTCTTTAATTTTATCAGAAATTTCCAAATTCTTTTTAAAATTGTCACTCGAGAAACGTGGCAGTATTCGACGTAAATCACTCTTATTTGGCGCAATATAATCGATCGACCGATACTTTCCAGTTAAGAATCCACGACCGATCGGACTATAAGCAACAATACTAATACCTAATTCATCACATGCTTTCATAACTCCATTAGTTTCTATTTCAAGTGACCATGGGCTATATTCAATCTTTTGTAAAAAAAAAAAAAAAAAAAAAAAATAAACAAACTTATTTATTCATTGTTTGTTTTTAAATTTTACATCACATACCTGTACAGCTGATATAGGATGAACTTTATGAGCGCGTCGAAGTTGTTCCTCATTACATTCCGAGAGTCCGATGTATTTTACATTGCCTTCTTTAACAAGTTCCGCCATAGCTGCAACACTTTCTTCGATCGGGCTTTACAAGATAAAAGATTTAATTCTTCTTCATAAAATCTCAAAAAAAAAAGAAATTAATTAATTTTGCTCACGTCTTAGGATCAATACGATGCAAATAATAGAGATCGATCTGATTAATCCCCAATCTTTTCAAAGAATTTTCACAACATTGGCGAACGTACTCGCGATCTCCTCTTAGATCTAACACATTTCCTTTTTCGTCTCGAACGATTCCATATTTCGTACAAACAAATACATCATTACGGCGTTCTTTTAAAATTTTTGATAAGAGTATCTCATTGGCTCCGTTTATTCCATAAATATCCTAAAAAGAATTATTCAAAATTACAATGAGAATGAAAGGAATTCTCGATTTTCATAATTTTAAATTTGCTTGAAGAATTTACCGCAGTATCCCAAAAGTTACATCCTAATTCGAGTGATCTTTTCAATACTTTAAGACTTTCATTCTCGTCAACGGGTCCATAAAATTACCTCAATCCCTTTTTTTTATTTCAAATATAAACAAACAATTGATTTGTGAGTTTCTTAATACACTTAATAAACATATGGGAGGTGGTCAGTAGAAAAGGGGGAAATCCAAATTTTGGTCAAAATTTATATTGGACCACTTGGCTGATCTCGATCATGTGCACAAATTTAGCTTAATAATAAAAATTAACAAAATTTTGCATTTCCCTGACCACCTCCCATATAGTAAAGTTTTTATGCCATGCATCCTAAGCCAATCACTGGGATCTTGACTCCGGTTTTATCTAATTCGCGGGTTGGAAGATCCATTTCTACTTTATTCTATTGGTTGTAAGTTGTATGTAAAAATTTTTTGAAAAAAGGATTTATATATTTAATTTTTCAATTTAATTAGTATGATCGTATGAGCCATCACTTTTTGGTTAGTCAATCATACAATTTCTATGAATTTTCATAAAAATAAGGTTTATAATTTTCTTAAAGAATTTCCTTATAGAGCTTGTTATATTCCCTATTGAAAATTCGAACAATTAATAAATTGAATATTTTTTTTTACAAGTCTCGATAAAATATTATGTAATTTTTTTCCTGTTTCGTAAATTTCAAAAAAAAATTCTCGTCCTATTTACGAAGTCGCATGCCGATCACAACAAAATGACATTTATTAGTGTAACATTTTACAGTATCTTTAACTTGTTAAAATTTCAATG